CTCCCCCCCCCCCCCCCCCCCCCCCTCCCCCCCCCCCCCCCCCCCCCTTCTCCTCTCCCCCCCCCCCCTCTTAAGGGCCGCCCTTCTGCACCCACTAATGACTGCGTGGATCATCCTCCCTATCAGCCTCTCTACCTTCTCCATCACTGGAATATGGATTGTGTAAGAGCTGTTGTGAATTGTGGCTGGGTCACACAGGAGGGATGGAGTCTCCAGCGTGCTTTGTTTCCTCCTGCAGAGAAGCATCGGGCTCCTCTGCTATTCCCTGAGCTGCAGGGCTGCATCAGCAGTTCCCTTGCACACCTGCTGGCCGGATTCTTTCCCAAGAGGTGACTTAGCAAAAGTGTTGCCAAATCATGACCTGCAGTCATGAAGGAACATGGTGGTTCTGTGGTTTTCTGCCTTTTGAACGAGTTGGTACTGAATGTGCTGGAGACCATAAAGAGACCAAAGCCAGATTAGCGTAGTTCATGTCCGTGTCTCCTCTGTGTAGGGAGTAGCCACTCTGTTTGTGGCTACTTCCTCTTCCTGCCCCAGCAGCCTCAAGGCCTGGCTTAGCCAGAGCTTCCCTTGGATGGTCCCACACTTTCTGTGGGCCAGGTTGCCTAATATCCCTCACCTGTCCACATTAAGGCTACATTTATTCTGATGCTCTTGAGGGTAGGTGAGTACAATGGTTTTTTGGGCTGGCCCAGCCCTGCAAGAGGGTTAAAGCCCTTTTAAGTATTGTTACTGATTTTTTAGTGAAGAAATATTTTTAAAAAGATAAAAAGATATGTGAAATTTGAACTCATAAAAGATTTTCTGGAGCATTAAGTTCTTGTTGTAGCTCTTTGTAAATTAATTGCAAACATATCTGAAATAAACTTGAAGTTTTACACTACCGTAATTCATCTGTGGGGGGAAACATTGTAAATGCATCCTTGTCTCTTTTTGTTTTAAGTCACTACTAAACATTTACACTGGATGTCAGGAACCCTAATCCTGAGGCTCTTATTACATCAGTTGCCAAAATACAAATGGCAAGAAATAACTTATATTTCAAAAAATGAGGCTCAACTTTGGGGGTCTAAAGTTGCAATCCACCCAGTAAATGGTTTGTGTTTCTGTCTTGCACATCCCGTCTAGCCATCGGCTTGAAAGGGCTCCCTAGCACTAACTGCCTAGTTTTCTACAGTAGGTCAGCCAAGATCAGCAAGGTGAGACAGATAACTCCCATTTCAATTTATTTGGCATCGGTTATTTCAAAGCTGGCCAAAAATGTTTGCATTGATGTAATTGATGTGGACAGCATGGGCTAGGAAAAACAAAACAGTGCATAGGTTTGGTGTTGGTTGCCATCCAGAAGACCTTCATGGCTCTGGGGTGCTCCACAACTCTACATTTGGGAGGCAAAATGCAGAATTGATGAAACCAAATGATGCAAGCCCAGTAGAGAACTTTGTGGTGATTACAGCAACAGGTTTTTTTAAAGACATTTTTATTTTTAGACAAAGAGATAAAACGTAAAACCATCTTACAGTTGCATACAGTGTTTGGTTGGTTACAAAACTTTTGTGCAACCTCTCCATAATCCTCACTTACAATTTATATAAAATCTCATATTATCAATGTAGTATATATGTATAAGTTATTATCATTGTTAATCATTTATTTGACTATAACTATTATTACTTCATTTTATGTGAGATATTCTAAATTTTGAATTAATTTATATTATGGCATTTCATTACATCATCCAGCAACAGGTTTTTTAAAGCATTTCCTCTGGACCCAGGTTTCAAGTGGACCAAGCCCAAAATCTTTAGTGGGACATCTTGGGCAGAACCTGAATGTGGAACTTTTTATTGTTAACCTGCATGTTCAAAGGATTAACCTGGCAAACCTAAGCAACCAAAGTTGGCTGTGGGGTGTCAGGCAAAGGCCATGTTGGTATCTGGTGTCCTGGAGGCGGCTTGGAAAGCATGTGGTGATGGCTTCAGTGTTCATTCCAGTTGGACCGGTTTTCTGAGCAAATGGCCCAACTCAGTTGAGCTGAAATTCCTTTAAGGTCTTGTGGGTTTCCTGGAAGTTCCCTGTAGCTCATTTTTCAGGGATAGAGGCAGCGGTGGGATTCAGCCGGTCCGCACCACTTCTTGAGAACCGGTTGTTAACTTTCTAAAGCAGTTTGGTGAAGTGGCTGTTAGAAGAAATCATTAGGGCAGAGAAGTGGTTGTTAAATTATTTGAATCCCACCACTGGATAGAGGTTTCCAGTCGCTAGATAATGCGTTCTACTGGATCTTGCCTATTTAACCTTAGTGGGCCTACAGGGAAAGACTGGTGAACAGTGCCTAGATGGGCAGTTGCAGGTGAACGAGAGTCGTGCCCTAATCGTGGCCATTTTTTGTAACCTTCAGTCTGGCTAAACTGGCTCTTGGGAAGCGAAAGTGGTTTCTTCTAAACACGTTGTGGGTCTGGTGATGTGAACCACTTTTGATTTCCTTCCCCCAAGGAGGCCTCTGCTGGGAGAGAGAGAGAGAGAGAGAGAAAAGAGAGAGAGACAGAGAGAGACAGAGAGAGACTAATACAGACTTCCATAAACATTAGGAAACTGCAGTGTTTATTTTCAGGCTTACCCAATTATTGCTGCCTTACCATCTATTTTGTTCAATTTTGCTGCTTTTCTAGCTATGCCATGGCAGTCATGAACCACCATGTGTGTCCTGTTGAGAACTGGTGAGTTGTGCTGGAAAGAGGGAGAGCAGTGGGGAAAAGGAGGGCACGGGCTCCCCCTTTCCTGGAACATCTCAGAATGCCGCTTAATCTATCCAAATGGCTGCAGGTCATACAACGAGTCTTGTTCTGCTGATTCTACCAAGCACGGTTACCCCAAAAGTTGCTGCACTTTGGAAGATGTCCCTTTGATCAGGTGAGATGGAAAGAAGCTAGTGGAGGATGAGCAGATGGCTGTATCTGCTGCTCTAGATGCGGCCTTGTGAAATGGTGCCAGGCAGTTCCCCAATTGGGCAGTTTCAAAGCAAGTGTGCAGGACGAGGTGCTGGTTTTCCATCTTGTGCTAATGCTCTTTTCTTTCCCTACAGTAAATGTGGCACTTACCCTCCTGAAAGTTGTCTCTTCAGCCTTATTGGGAACATTGGAGCTTTCTTGGGTAAGCATTCATTTCCCTCTTTCCCCAGTTTCATTAGTGAGGGAAGAAGCCGGTGGCAGGATGGCCACTGCCCACTTGCCACTCAGTGAGCAATTGCTGATGCCAGGCAGCAAGACTTTCCAGGATAAAAATTATGCCCTTAATTCAGTCATCTTGGCATACTGGCGGCTTCCTGAAGGTCAGCAAGGTCAGGGCAGGAAGCAGATGAGGGAACATCAGGTATCTCCTCTTCATCAGGTAAGCTTTCCAAGTACCTCCTCCTCTGCGGCTGTCCCGTCCCCCCCAGGAACGGTTTCCTCAAAGTCTTTGCCAAAAGGCAGTGCCCAGAATTGGACACAACACTCTGGATTTGCATTACAATAACTTCTCTTAAGCGTGACATTGTGTCTATTGATGCAGCCTACATTGGCCTTTGCTCTTTTTGCCCTGTGTCACACTGCTGGCTCATGTCCAAGTTTTGATTGATCAAGATACTCAGATTCTTTTGACACGTACTGCGAAAAAACGTTAAGGCTCTAGAAAGAGTGCAGAGAAGAGCAGAGAAGATGATTAGTGGCTCGGAGGCTAAAACATACAATGAACAGTTGCAGGAATTGGCTAGTCTAATGAAGAGAAGATCCAGGGGAGACAGGATGGCAGTCTTCCAGTGTTTGAGGGGTTGCCACAGAGAGGAGGGGGTCACACTATGTTCCAAAGCACCTGAAGGCCAGACAAGGAATAATGGATGGAAATTGACCAAGGAGAGATTCAGCCTAGAAATAAGGATAAGTGAGAACAATCAACCAATGAAACTGAAATTGCCTTCAGAAGTAGTGGGTGCTTCAACATTGAAAACTTTCAAGAAGACACTGGACTGCCATCTGTCAGAAATGGTGAATGTTCTCCTGCTTGGGTGGGGGGGTTGGACTAGATGACCTATAAGGTTCCTTCCAACTGATATTCTGTTAAATATGCTGTTTTAAAGGCAGAGACATTGGTTTGATTTGGTCTATTGCTTGTGCCTGCATGATGTTGAATTCCAGGATGACATGGCCTCTCTCCCCCAACGTTCCTGGAACTTCAGCCCCTTCTATCACTTCATCTGTTAGTAGGAATACGGTCTAGTATAGCTACCCTCTAGTTTCGCTCCTCTACCTTTTGGATGGGAGGCTTTATGCACTGAAGTGATGGTTACCTAGTTAGCTAAACTGATCTGTCAGAGAAGACTGAGTTGACTTGGCATGGCTTACAAACCAGTTCTGAATTTTGCCAAATAATCAGCATCAAGCAGCATGGCCCACAGTTGCCAAGGGCTGCTGTCCCCCCCCCCCCCCATCCTTTGCAAAGGTCTGTTCCAGTCTTCTCTGGAATCTGAAATGATGCCCACAAGACTTGTGAAGACTCTTGTCCGTCCTGCCTGATCATCTCTTAGGTCTGTTTGAACCCACCAGTCCCCTTTGGAGAGAAGACCAGGGGAAAGTAGAAATTGAGGCACTCTGCTCGGTTCCTGCTACCTGCTGATTGAACCTGTTCTCCAAGCTCAAGTCTGTGACTTTTGTAACCGACACGGCCCCCAAATCCCCTTTGTTTTGTTTTTAAAGTCTCTCTAACAGCTCAGGTTCTCCTCGTTCTTTAGTCTGTCTGCAGGTCTCCAAATGACATGATTTGCTAGCATTGTTCCTCGATTATACCCACCTTCTATTTCTTAGACATGTTGCTGGCAACCTATAGTTCAAACACCCCCTTTGTGCACCCACATCCTTCTCGAAGTCCCTCGCCCCATTTATCTTTTCACTGGAATGTTGAGCTCATTGGAATTCAGGATCATAAAACCTGTAGTGTTGTTTTTTGCATGGCCTAGTTTTGACAGCATGCCAAGTTTCAGTTTGTCCTGATAGGTCAGCCAGCTAGCTTCATGTAACGCATTCAGACTTAAGATGGCGGGCTTGGTTTTGGCTGCCATGTTGTGCATGTCCCTGTGGACTTTTGTCCTTGGGAAGGCCACTCCCCAGAGAGCCCAGCACTGTTGCTCTGCTTTGCCTGCTGGGTTTGATGCACCTCTCTCTCTCCCTCTCCCCCCTCCCAGTGGCCATCATCTGCTTCCTGCGCTACGGGCAACTCCTGGAGCAAAGACAGGCCTCTGGGGTGAACACAGCAGCCCTCGTCACCGGTTGCACCAATGCGGCTGGCCTGGTGGTGGTTGGAAATTTCCAGGTTGGTTGAGAGCTCTATCTGCAAGGTCAGGGTGGCTATGGGCTGCCTTTGCTTCCTGGCCCTGGGGAGCCTCTCTGGTGGCTCTTGGGCCTTTGTGGAGCAGAGAGAAGCACAGGGCAGATAAGTTCCCATTCTTCAACAAAAGCTTGAGCAGGGACCTCCTTCGGCTTGAAGATGGCAATTGTTGCCAATGTAATAAGAGCCAGAGCCGGTCTGGTTCATCCCACAAGGGAAGCTTTTGCAAACGCAGAGCTGCCAGAAAGTTGCCTAGCCTGAACTCCTCTTTAGCCAGGCCATTCTGCGTTGCCAGGGCAGAGTGGAGGTGCCAGTTGGGTTAGCCCTTCGACCTAGTGCTGTGTTAGTCGTGTTGATGTTGCAAGAGGTTTTTCTTCCCTGAGAGGCAACAGCTGCTTTTTGCCTCAGTGGCTTCATTGGAGCCAGACTCTTCCTGGACATGAAGCCGCCACTTCAGCCCTTGTCGGAGTGGCCCAATGGGCTGCTGAGGCAAAGCTGGCTCCTAGAGACCCAAGAGGAACCATCCTATTTGGGCTTCCCGCTGCCTCCAGGTGGATTATGCCAAATCTCTTCACTACATTGGAGCTGGCGTTGCCTTCCCAGCCGGCCTGCTTTTCGTCTGCCTCCAGTGCTTCCTCTCCTATCACACGGCCGTTTCTGCCCTGGACTTCTGGATGGCCCATCTACGTGTTTTCCTCTCCACCATGGCCTTCATCTCTCTTGTCCTCAGTATCCTTTTCTAGGTCATCCTGCTGGTTAGGAGAGGCCGAGAGCTCCCTTGTCCCGTTTCTCCTCCGAGTGAGTCCCTGCCCAACCCTTCCGCTCCCCTGCTCTCTCAGAAGCGGCCCCTCCCCCATGCAGAAGAGCTCTGTCCTGCCCAGTCCCTGGGATCGGCACCACCCTTGGCTTCCTTGCTTGGGCACCTGGCATCCCCCGGGCAAGGCCATCTTCTCCCCTGACCTTCCCTTGACTCCACTCCAGGTGGCATCTTCTTCATCTACCAGAGCTTCCTCCTGCAGCACCTGGCTGCCATCTGCGAGTGGGTCTTTGTTATTGACATTCTCGTTTTCTACGGAACCTTCAGCTACGAGTTTGGTGCCATCTCCAACGAGACCCTGGTGGCCGTCCTGCAGCACTCTGGCGGCCGAGGCTGCAAGTCGCCCGGCAGCAGCAGCACCTCCACCCACCTGAACTGCCACCCGGAGAGCATTCCCATGATCTGAGAGTGGTAGGAGAAAGGGCAGGCGCACCCCACCTCCTCCGCTGCTCTGGCAGGCAGCCTTAAGTCTTCAGGCCATTTTTATACCAGGATTGTTTTTTTAAAGAGCCTGTTGCTGCCCAGCCTTTCTGCGAAATGTTCATTTTCCAAGTCTCCAGAGAAGTTCCCAGGGCCTCTTTGCCCAGCCTCTGTGCAAGGACACCTTGAAGCCTTTCTCTGCTGAATCTCTCGCCGCCCTTCAGGGAGTGCCTCCAAGCCAAGTGTGCTCTTGTGTGTGTTGGGGTACCCGAGAACATGGGTTCCTCTGGCAAAAGTTGTGCCTCACTGCCACCTCGTCTTTTTCCCAGGCAAGTGTTACTTAAGCTGTAGAAGCAAATTATGTGGGGATGCCCTCTGTGCTGGTGGGGATACTTACCCCTCCTCTTGTGAAGAAAAGTATGCGAAAGAGAGTACCTCCATCCTTTTCACATACACACACACACCATCATACAGAGTTCATTTCTTCAGCCCCGGATAAAGTGGTTTGATATTTTGTAGAACTTTTTTGTATATTTACATATATAAAAGAGCCATCAGAGGAAGACTGCTGTGTGGTGTATAAGGGTGTTTCTGTGGTTTGGGGGGGGGGGGGGAAGGACTTCCCTTGCTACAAACCCCCAGAGCAGCAGAAAGTCACGTGACGTTTGCCTCCAGGACTCTTCTTGTAGACTTTGCCCACTTCAAAAGTTGGCTCAATATCTGGGCAGGGCACACATACTTTTGCCCAGAAAAACATCCTGTCTTGGTGCCCTAAATTAATGGTGAAATTCCTCCTGCTGCCCGTATTGGATTCTGAGTTGGGCAGCAGAATCATTCCTTGTTCTGCAAAGTTAGAAGGGTTGTAAGAGAGAGAAAAGTGCTGCTGATATAAGATGGTCCATAAGGTTGGTAAAAGTGCTACAACCTGCTCCTCTCTGGACCACGATGGTCTTGGGCATCTCCGGATCAGCTGACCAGGCCAAGAGAAACTCCTCTGGAGGGACCCTGAAGAACCCCACCCATTGCCCTCAATTAAGCCAGATGTCAGGTTAATTAAGAGGTAGCCAAATCAACATCTCTGCAATGCAGTTTAATTTAACAGGCAGGTCTTGGGGAAAGGAGGCTTCCCGATCCTGGGAATTGCTAAGGTGTATACTCTATACTAGAGTACTCTATACTCTATTTTGTAGAGTATGATGTATTTTAACATTTTGTTTTTATGTTTATTATATTTTCTAGATAGATGGCCCTTCACAAGGTTTTTCTCCTTGGCAGCTTGCCTTCTCCCCTCCACCTCCCCAAATGACAGCTCAGCTGGTACAGCTTTCAGGGAGAAGCTGCAGCTGAATTTCTAGCCTGCAGCCAGTTGGGAGAATTCATAGGGCTGGGGGGGAGGTAAGGAGAGGAAGTGGGAAAAAGGAGGAGAAACCCACTGAATGCTCTTGTTTTTTGCCCCCAGCCCACTTGGGGAGGGGTATTCCCCTCCTCTCTGTCCCAACAAGGCCAAAAGGACCCCAGCCTTGGAAATAAAGCCTTGGGGTATTTTTATTTGTCAAAAATCCCTCTGAGCTCTGCTGAGTTGAGTTCTTGCTTAGAAAAAGCACTGAGAAGGGGTGGGGCTTTTGTGCCCCCCCCCCCTTGCAACGGGGACCGTCCGTGCCGCGGGCCGGGCGGGGCTCACGTGTACATGGCGCCATGCAGATACTCCAGCCGGTACACTTGCTGCTCCTTGCGGACCTTCGGGAGGGAAAGGGAGGCATTCGGCCTACTGAGCCCCAATTGCAGCGCAGCCCCCATCCCGGGACTCGCGGCAGAAAGAAGCGAGCAGCCGCGGCCGCCTCCCAGCTTCCTGCTGAGCCAAAAGGGGAAGACCCGCAGAGGGAGGGGCGAGGGAGGCGGAAAGTCCTCCCCTCTCCAAGCTCAGTGCCCTTCCCCGCCCCGAAAGCCTCTCCCCAGCCGCTCCCCCCCCCCGCCCCTCCTGGCAGGCCCAAAAGAGCTGCCCCCCCTCACCTTCTCCTGCTTGTACTCCTCGTACTCCGGGTCCTCGGTGGGCAGCTCGTGGCGGCAGAGCGGGCAGGAGTTGGTCTGGGCGGGAGAGAGGGCTCAGTGCCTACCCGGGAGTCTGCCTCCCACCCTCCCTCCCGGCCTGCTCGCCTCTCACCTTTCCAAGCCAAGGGAGGAGGCAGCCGGCGTGGAAGAGGTGCTGGCAGGGCATCTGCCTGGCCGTCTCCTCCGCCTCGAATTCCAGCAGGCACACCGGGCACCGGAGCCCCTTCGCTGAGCGCCGGCCGGGCAGGAGCGAGAAACAAGAGCGCGTCACACCGGCTGCATCGCCCTCCCCCCTCCCCCCGGAAGCCCGCAGGGAAAGGCCAGGAGCCGCCCCGGAGAGGAGCCGCCGACTTCGGGCCCGGCCGCCGCTGCTCTCTGGAACCCTCGCCGGCAGGAATCACCCCCGCCCCTCTCCCCCCCGCGAGAGCCCCCGGCCCACCTGCCTGCGCGGCGCCGACCCGCACCTCGGGCAGCCCCTCCACGGCGCTGCGAGCGGCTGGCGGCGGGAGCCGGTGATCCCAGTCTCCGCTCTGCAGGGCGCCCACGTCGATCTCCAGCCCGTGGAAGAGGGACCTGCAGGCGGGGAAGGGGACAGTCAGCCCGGGGAAACCTCGGCCGTGGCGCCCACCGCCCCTCCTGACCTCCCTCCTGACCTGGCCAGCTCCAGCAGGGCGTGGCGTGGCGGCAGCGGGTCCCCCGTCGGGGCTCCGGGCTCGCAGTCGTGCTCCTCGAAGTAGGACGCCATGGCCGGGACGGAGACAGGCCCCGCCCCGCGCCCTCATTGGACGGCGCCCCGGCAGACGGGCACGGGGGGCGGCCCTCCGGCATCTCTCCCGCCCCGTCCAGCCTCCCATTTGTAACTGATCTGATGGCGGGATGCCGGCCAGCGCCGCCACCTAAGCCGGACGGACGTTTCCCCTCCGCGGAGGACGGGCTCCCGAGGCCCTCCGAAGGCGCCCGTTGCAACCGAGGGACCAGTCCGCCGGCAACGAGGCGGGGGGGGGGGGGCTCCTGCTTGCTGAAGCTCCGTCCGGCGGAGAGCTAAGCCGGATCGCCCACGTCTAGCAGGCAGGGGGGCTTCCCCAGTCAAAGAAGCGGAGCAGCTGGGGCGTTTGAGGCGGCAATGCAGCTCCCAGGCACTCAGACTGCCCCCCCCAGGAGACACCCCCCCCCAATTACTCTAATGCTGAAACTCCTTTAAGGCAGTTCTGGAGTGTGGGCAGATCAGTCACCCCCAGCCCTGATCTGTGCTGGAGCCTCCTGGTTCCCAGATCCAGAGAGAGTGAAGTAGAGGATGGCTGAGACGATGAGCAGGATAACCCCCACAACCACTGCCACCAGGATGATCTTGAACTTCACGTTCTCCCAGCGTTTCTTCTGGGCCAGAGTCTTAGTTGTCCTGGTGAAAGTACAACTCTAAAAAAAACCAATTGGAGACTATTGCAATCTCATTCTGGTGAATTCAGAGATTTATAGCAGTTTGTTTGAAATTACAACAGTACTGGAAAAAGTGACTTTTCAACACTTAATCCTGCTGCAAAATCCCCATGAACACATAATCATCCAAACTAGAATTCAGGAAGCAAATGTTGAAGTGAGAACAATTAATCAATAAACTCTGCCTCCAGACGTTGTGGGTGCTCTTAGGCTAGAGGTTTTAAGGATTGAAATGAGTGGGTGCCTTCCTGCCTGCTCAAGCCACGGGTTGGACTAGAAGACTTCAGGGGCCCCTTCCAATCTTGTTCTAGGTTCCTTGGCCCTGACCCCACTGAAATTCCAACTGGCAAGTAGGCCCAGGTGGTTGTCCAGCTGCCCTTGAAAGGCTCTGAATGAAGAACTTGCTGGTCATCCTGTCTGCCCCACCCAGTCCCCACATCACCTTCCATACCTGTTTAAGAAGCTCATCAGCCCTGTCATCCAGCTCGCTAAGCTTGCCCTCACGGTCCAGTACCCTGGTGTAGTTCTCTAGCATGATTTCTGTCACCTCCTCAGCCGCCTGCTGGCATTGCTGCAGCTGGTTCTCACTCTGCAGAAGGAGACAGGTTGGTAATAGGTGGGACTGGGGCTCATTTCCCCAGCTTGGTACAAGAAGAAATTCCTTGCAACACAAGGAGGAAGGGCCAGTTGCCCAGTGCCAGGGAAGCTCAGGTGAATTAGGTGGAAAGCCCCTTTTCACACCAGTGAGATGTCCCTTGACTGTCTTCTCTGATGCCAATGAGACTCACCAGAGAGCAGCCAGGTGTGCTCAGGATGCCTGTGAGGCACTTCGGCATCCCCAGGTGAGCATTCCAGGCATGCTCCAGAATGCACCTTTCTCTGCAAAGAAAAACTGCTGGAGGACCAGCCATGTGCCTCTTCCTTAAGTAGAAGATGAGCAAGGGCAAACATCCTAGCCACATTTCTTATTGATTTATTGTATTTACCTTTCCCTTAGAGCGCTCCAGGTATCGCACATTTAACATTTGGGAGCCAGTTTGATCTAGTGGTTAGTGCACCAGGCTAGAAAGCATGAGACTGAGTTCAAGTTCCTCATGAGCCATGAAAGCCGGCTGGGTGACTGACTCAGCCTGCCCCACCTCACAGGGTTGTTGTGGGGAAAATAGGAGGAAGGTGTGTCGGATAAATTCTCCGCCTTGAGTTGTTTGTAAAAATAACAAAGGTGTAATATAAATGAATGAATGAATAAATAAATTAAACATTTCTTTCCTCACTATCTATTTGTCCTTACAATAAATTTAAAAGAACGGTTTACGATGGTCCAGAGTATTCCAGTAAAACACATGGCTTAATGGAAATCAGAATGCCAAACTTTCTTCCTTCCTGGTGGCAGGAGAAGGGGCCCCCACTCTCCGATCCCTGGCAATGCAGATGAACTTCCCCCTAATGGTCCCGGAGCCACAGCCGGCCATTGCTCTTCCCTTCACTCTGTCCTGGCGCTCCCTCTGAAAACCCTCTTTATCCACACAGCCGCCTGTCTTGTTGCAAACACCCATCAAGATTTACTGGTTGCCTGTGACGGACACTCTGCCTGGACTCTGGGCGGAAAGAAGAACACAGCCTTCTCTAGCATTGGTCACTTGACACCCTGCCTTTCCTAAGTCTTCCTCGGCAGCAGGTGGACAGGAGCCAGGAAGAGAGGGGCTGTCAAGCCAAGGCTGAAGTGCAGCAGGAGCAGCAGGAGAGACGATGATGCAGGACAGTCTGGGAGGCCTGGGAGCTGGCCTGGGGCCTGGGGCTTTCCAAGGAAAAGAACTTTGGCTGGCAGCATGCCTCCCCCCCTCCATTTATCCAAGTTGATTTGAGCAAGATTTAACATTGTTTTGTGATCTCCTTTTGTGCTGCCTAGCAGAGAATGCGATTTCCAAGTCTCTTGAAGTGCAGGAATCCTTGACAGAAGCACTTCAAATATTCCTCCTGGGAACCAGCGTCCTTGTTCTGAAGGAAAGGCCAACTCCTCCAACTCATCCCGCCTTTGGCTAACCGGAGGCAAAGAAAGCCCTGGGGAAAGCCTGCCAGGAAGCAGCTTCCTGAAGGCAGGGGAGATTAACTGGAAGGCAGTCAGATGCCTCCTTAGAGGACTTGGAGGGAGGAAGCTACTGGGCAGCAGAGAAGCAGCAGCCTTGAGAGTTTCACTTCTGAAAACAGCAGGGGGGTGGGGGGAGGGAGGCTCATGGCAGGGAAGCCACTCTCTTTTCCTGCCTTCCCTCCTTGGCTGGACAGGCTTCCTTCCCTAGAAATGGGCCAGAGGCTGGTTCCACGGGGCACCATCCCTGAGTGGTGGACAAGCAGGCAGTGGACAAGCAGTGCCAACTGGTATCGCAATTGTCCAGACTGGGAGAATGGAAGGAATATGACCACTCATTTAATTCAACCTGAAGTTGCAGCTGGGAGGGCTCTTTCCTGGAGCAGTGCCTCTGGGTTGTCTGCAGGGCTGGGAGGGGGGGGGGGCTCTAGAGCCAATCCAGAGCAAGGAGAGCCAAAGATCCCAGGACTCGATCATCAATAAAGTCCTGGGAGAGACCTGGACCAAGTCATGGCTTTGCCCTTCAGCGCTAACCCATCCAGACAACCTGCATCCTCTCTCCCTCTCTCCCCAACTGAGCTCTCACTGCAGTGGAGTCAATAGTGATGCCCGCCTGAGATCCACAGCTGCCTTGGATGGTTTTGGAGCAGGGCCTGGGTCCCCGTTGTTTTCCTGCACATGATTGGGGTGGCAGGCAGGAAGGGTAGGCAGCCTGCACCCACCAGGTGTCCAACAACTTCATTAGGAGACCACCAATGGGGCTGATTCAAGAGCACCAAGTGGCCTCTTGAGCGATGTGTTTTGACTTCAAATTGCAAGGGAAGGGGGGGTAGTAGCAAAAACAGGGGGGGGGCAGAACCAATAGATGATACAAAAGTCATTTAAAGTAATGATAGTGGACATACATTGAAACATTATTTAATTCGAGCAGGCAGATTTGCTGGGAGTGGAGTTTGGGGCTTCAGAATGAGCTCCGGAAAGGGGGCTGAGCTCCGCATTTGGGCATCGCCTCTTTTCTTGCCCCACATCTTCCTTCCCACGGCGGCCGGGAGGGGGGCAGAGTCTCTCGGGGGTTGCGGGTCTGTTTGCGGCGGAGGAAGCGAAAGGCCGCTCTACCTCCCCCAGGCAGCAGCTTCTCGGAAAGGCGCTTACTCGCCCTGGCTTTCCGCCCTCCGAAGCCGTCGGGGAATTTCCCCAGCAGCGGCTTGGGAAGGAGCCACTTCTGCGCCTTGGGCAGCTCTAAGCCCGGACCGAGCGGCCTGCAGGGCTCCAACGGCAAGGCCAGCCGGACCGCCCCGTCTAGGAAGGCCGCCGCTGCCGGAGCATCGCAAGCGCCACGCCCCGAACTTCCAGAGGCGGAGGCGGCCTTTGCACCGCTCTCTGGACCGGCTGACGGCCACCCTTCCCCTGGGGCCGGCCTGGAGCGGGCAGGCAGAGGCAGCCGCGACTGAGAAGCTCCAAGGGCGGCAACAGGTTCTCCGCCCGACGGCCTCTGCACATCCCCGGACCGCCCCTTCGGCCGGGGAGCCGGACGCCCCAAGGACGCCGGAAAGTCCCGTGGAGCCCGCGCCAGTCACCGGTCCTGAGCTGCCTCCAGGAAGCCGGGCGCGGAGGGACGAGGTTGCACTTCGCCCCCGGCCCAGGAGCCCGCCCGGCTCATAAGAGGTAGCGGTCGAAGCACTTACCATGGCCGGCGCTGGGAGGTGCAGCGGCGGCGCCTCCACTCGGGCCGGGTCCTCCGGGAGCAGTCCGAGCAGCGTCCTCTGGCCGGCCGGGGGCGAGCGTAGGCGGGCCCCGCTGCTGCTCGGCAGCTCGCCGCCCTCGCACCGCCCTCCAGGGCCCTCGGGGGCGGTGCTGGCCTGCAGGCGGATCGAGGGCCGACCTCCTCCGCTTCGCGGAAGCCTGCCGGAGCCCCGACCCCGCGGACGGTGGGAGTCTCACCGCTTAGGAGTCTCGAGCTGCAGGGGCCACTGAGCGGGCAGAGACGCTGCGGGCGCCCTTCCAGCAGGCAGTGGGGATTCCCCAGTCAAAGAAGCGGAGCAGCTAGGGTGTTTGAGGGGGCAGCGCAGCTCCCAGGCGCTCAGACCGCCCCCCCCCCAAGGAGAAGCACCCCCCTCCAATTCCTCTAATGTTGAAGCTCCTTTGAGGCAGTTCTGGAGTGTGGGCGAGCCAAGTAAGCGGTGGGCACTTTGGGATCTCAGAGGACAAGGGGTCCCAAACCTCCGGTCCCAAGGAGAGCACATTTGGGCCCCAGGCTGCTTACGGCTCCCCAGGGCCACTTTCCCACCAAGTCAAGGCCAAAAGAGCAAAACGAACCCTAAGAGGATTCGTCCTGTTTCAGGACCCCTTTTCCTGCACCAGCATGTGTGCAAGGGAACTATCCACCGTCTTCTCCAGGAGATTGGGGCGAAGCCTCTCCAGGTGACAGGTTGCAAATGTCAGTTGTGGCGGGATACACCTTCTGCCTAGGGGCAGAAGAGTGAGTGCCTCCCCTCACCAAGCACAGCTGGGGCAGGCAGCAGTGGTATCAGAGGAGTGCAAAGCTCTCCCCTGGGAGCAGAGCTTTCCTTAACCCAACGGCTGAAGGCAGGAGATGCAAGGCCTGGACTTCGGCCCCAGTTTAGTTGCTGAAGCCCAAGACTGAACATCAGTGCACAATGCCTTGCTATCGCTCTCCTCTGGGACAATGGAGCAGGAAGTATACAAACAGAAAGGCAGCGTTCTCCTTTTTCCTTCCTTCTTCCCTTCCTTCCTGCCTACAGAGAGTCCTTATTGGCATTGAGGTGGCATCAAGAGGGCTGTGCCTTTGGTTTCCTTTCTCCATTGGCTTGCTTGCCCTGATGAGAAACAAAGGAGTCAAGGCTGCTGCCAGGTCCTAACTAAGCCCCGACGCCCAGCACCCCTGAAAGCTTCGTGTTGGGAAGACAATTCCAGGGTGACCTGGATCAGCATGTCAGTCACCCTCAGCGCTGGCCCGTGCTGGAGCCTCCTGGTTCCCAGATCCAGAGAGAGTGAAGTAGAGGATTGTGCATAACAAATTTACACAACACTTGGGTCAACCAGAAGTGAAATTTATAAGTTTTTGCAAAAATTGGTGGCGCTTCAGCTTCAGCAACAGAAGTTCACACCCAGTTTTAGATCTCAGCATCTTTTATACATCCTTTTCACCAGCCGCAGATCCCTCCTAGCCAGGCCCAGCTGATAGGTCTGGTTGTTAAGCCCCCTCCAGTTCTCATCTTCTTGGTTTTCCCCTTTCATGTATATCATTGCCTGTCAGGTTTCAGACATTGGGTAAATAGGGCTGTACCTTTGGTTATACTTTAAAAATGCTAACTCTAGGCAAATGAACAAGAACATAACATACAACAAGCTATGTGCTAGTCTACATTATGGAAATTAACAACCTCTTGTATTTATTATCTTGTTGGGTCAAACTTAGTTAACTCTTTATGCTTCTATTTTGATCATAATAACTTGAAACCACCCCCTACAGTATGGTGGCTGTGACGATGACCACAACAACTATCACAGACGGGATCAACAGGATGAACATGCCTCTCACATTCTTCCAGGGTTTCTTCTTGGCCAGTGGCTTTGTTGTCTTGGTGAAAATAGAACTCTTTAAAAAAAACAATTTGAGACAGCTGCAATCTCATTCTGGTAAATTCAGATAGTCCTCAACTTATAGCCGTTAGTTTAGTGACTGTTCGGAGTTACAAAGGTCCTGGGAAAATAATTTTCCACACTTAAGCTTGCTGCAAAATCCCCTTGGTCACATGATCAAAATTCAGGCACCTGGAAACTGCCATGTATTTATGACCATTCCAGTGTCTTGGCTCATGTGATCACTGCTGGTGACCTTCCCAGTTGCTCTCATTAAGCAAAATCAATAGGAAGCCACATTATTAACTGCAGTGATTTTCTTAACAATCGTGGCAAAAAGTTCACAAAATGGAGCATAAATCACTTAACAATTGTTTTTCTTAGCAGTGGACATTTGGGGGCCCATTGTGGACATAATTTGAAGACTACTTAAATCGGCCTTTGGCATTAAGGTCTCTCTCTCCCTGGCCTCCATGGGAATTACTCACCGAGGCCCCACATCATGAATGTCAGTTAGCAAAAAGAGCCAAGATGCAGGCAAGGTTGTGTTTCAGCTTCTGCCCCGAAGTGGCTGACCTGGCTTCAGTTAAGTGGCCAGTGGATGGAGCACTGGCACAAATTCCAGAGTGAGGAGAGAGATTCTGCCTGGCCTCCGAATCTGAAAGCTGCCTGAAAGCTGCTCCCAGCCTCTGCCACCGCTTCTGATTTCAAGGTCTGGCTGAGAGAAAGTAGCCCAAAGTCCCCCATAAGGCTTCTAGCAGCCCCTTACCAGACAGTGGACAGAACAAAGTCAAACTAGAGTCTTGGACTTTAGAGCTTAAAGAGAGAAAGCTAAGGAAGGATCCATGGATGGAAAACTTAACAGGAAAAACAAGACACTTGGGAAACTGAAAAATGAAATTAGAAAAGCTCTTTCTAGCACAATGTCACTGAGAAAGAAAAATAAGAGACCCCGGCCTAAATCAGTATGCTTGCATAAATAACTCGCTAATAAACTGAAAGACAAAAAGAATAGGTGTAAAAAATGGAAAGAGGGACTCCCAACTAATCCGAATACCAGCATATAGACCGAATCTGCACAGATGAAGTAAGGAAAGCTAAGGCTCAGAATATACTAAGGCTTGCCACAAATATCCACAATAATAATAATAATAAACTTACAACATGACAAAAAAGTAAGAAGAAGTCAAGGAAACAATTGATGTACTAATGGGAGAAGATGGCAAGGAGGTGACAGGCAGCAGGGGATGGGGGTGTCACCCTATTCTCCAAAGCACCTGAAGACAGGACAAGAGGACAGGAGTGGAAAATTAGTAAAAAGAGATCCAAACTAGAATTCAGGGGGGGGGGGAAATTGACAGTGAGAACAATTAATCAATGAACAGAAGCTCAGGAAACTATTATTCTTCTTGTTTTCCCTCCTCCTCCTCTCCACACTAAAAGGAAGCCCATGAAGAGGGTACTGACAGTGTCTAATGGAAGGAGCATATCAAAGTTGTGGTAGGGAGTACCTGGATAGATCAGGAGTGAACAGAATGAGACAATAAAGAAAATGTAAGCTAACTAGCTGGCTGGCTGGCTTACTTACTTAATATGCTGCCATATTATCATTGTCAAATGACTTCTGGCAGTTTACAAATTGATATTATTGGTTATGCTGACCCCTGTTTATATTAGAAAGTAGGCAACCTGAGCCTATTGAGTCATTTCAGAGATATCTCTTTACCTAAACAGAGAAATAGAATGATCAAAGGTGGGCAAAAAAGCAGTGGGAATGGGCTACCTGCCGGCTTCCCTGCTGAGTTTTTTAGCAATAGAAATCTTCCTTCCTGGTAGTAGGAGAAGGGGGCTCCCACTCCCTGATCCCTTGCAATGCAGATGAACTGAACTCCCACTGAAAACCCTCTTTACCACAGAGCTGCCTGCCTTGCTGCAAACACCCATCACTATTTCCTGGTTGCCTGTGATGGACCCTCGCCTGGACTCTGGGAAGGAGACCACAGCCTTCTCTAGCATTGGTCACCTGACACCCTGCCTTTCCTAAGGCTTCGTCGGCAGCAGGCGGACAAGAGCCAGAGGCCGCCAAGCCAAGGCTGAAGTGCAGCAGCAGCAGGAGAGGAGGCAGGACAGTCGGGGAAGCCTGGGAGTCGCCTGGGGCTTTCCAAGGAAAAGAACTTTGGCTAGCGGTGAAAAACAGTGGAGGCAAAACCAACAGATGGTACTTAAAATTCACTTCAATTAATGATAGTCGACACACATTGAAACGTTCTTGAATGCGAAGAGGCCCTTTTGCTGGGAGTGGGACTCACTCGGGGCTTCAGGTTGAGCTCCCGGGCGGAAAGGGGCGGAGCTCCGCATTTGGGCGCCGCCTCTTTTCTTGGCCCACAACTTCCGTCCCCCGGGGGTGGCGGGCCTGTTTGCAGCGCAGGAAGCCAAAGGCAGCCCTGCCTCCGCCAGGCCAGCAGCTGCGGCCACCTTTGCCTTCTGCCCCGACGGCAGCTCTGTCTCCAGCGCAGAGGGGCTCAAGGCCGGACGCCCCACCAGGACGGCCTCTCCAGCTGGGCCTCGCCCTTCCATGAACCGCATCGCTTCCCACGGTTGCCCCGTTGCCATGGAGACCGAGCGGGCGAACTCCAAAGCCGCCTTGCCGCGGGCCCGGAAGAACGAGAAAGTCGCTTGCTCGGCCGGGGCTTTCCACCCTCCTAAGGCGTCGGGGAATTTCCCCAGCAGCGGCCTCGGAAGGAGCCGTTTCTGCGCCTTGGGCAGCTCTAAGCCCGGACCGAGCGGCCTGCAGGGCTCCCACGGCAAGGCCAGCTGGACCGCCCGGTCTAGGAAAGCCGCAGCTACCGGAGCATCGCAAGCGCCACGCCCCGAACTTCCAGAGGCGGAGGCGGCCTTTGCACCGCTCCCTGGACCGGCTGACGGCCGGACGGGCTGCCGAGGGCCCCTTGAGCAGGGCGAGAACCGACCGTGGGCAGCCGGAGCCCCGCCGCGACTGATAAGCTGCAGCAGAGCGGCGGCGCCTCTACCCAAGCGGCGCCCGGAGCTAGGGGAGGCGGGATCGCTGCTGCCCTGCAGCACTCCGTCCCCGCGCCGCCCTCCAAGGCCTTTCGGGGTCGGGAGGCGGCTCGAGGTCTCCGCTCAAATTCCCAAAGGCTCCTCCA